CCACGCTAACATCGCTCCAGAAAAGAAGAGAAGAGACGGTCACAGACTACATCATCAGGGCGGAGGCAGCCATTACAGCTCTACGCAACGCGGGTGAGACTTTGAGTGATGGCCTATTGATTGCTATGGTTTTAAAGGGACTGCCGGAAAATTTTAAACCATTTGCAATACATGTGACACACGACAGATTATATCACGTTTACAGAGTTTAAAACAAAGCTACGAAGTTTTGAAGACACTGAATGTTTGGCTGTAGCTGAATCCAGCGACAATGTCATGAAAACTGATGCTGGGGCTGAGCAGAGGCACACCAGGCCAATTACACGAGCCAGAGGCAAGTGTGATGTGGACATCGTTTGTTTCAAATGTGGAATAAAGGGCCACTGAGCAAAAGCTTGCAGGCAAAAGACGTGGTGTGGTCACTGCCGGAGCAGCACTCACTGTGAAGCCACGTGCAGACGCAGAGCTAAACAAGATGGCGGAAAGAAGGTCGCAGAAGAAAGCGGAAGAGGATTATGCTTTCAGGGTGGAGGACGCGGACATCGGAGGTCAGCAGCCAGCACACAACCTTAAGGAGAGAGGTCTGTTGGTTGACACCGGCGCTACTTCGCACATCATCAACGACATGACAAAGTTCAAGAGTTTTGATGACACATTCAGTCCGGAAACACACTGTGTAGAACTGGCAGACGGCACCTTGTGCAGAGGCATTGCCCAACGGAGAGGAAATGCAGAGGTGATCTTGGTGGATGACACAGGCCAGCAACGTAAAGCTACGCTGAGAGGCGCATTGTTTATCCCATCCTACCCCCAAAATATTTTCTCTGTTAAGTCAGCCACCGCATTGGGAGCAACAGTCACTTTTAAACAAGGGCAGGACATGTTGACCCACAAAGATGGTACTAACTTTAACATCCATGTGCATGACAAGCTATATTATTTGGAGACGGATGTTGATGCTAATGATAAATGTAGCACATGTCACGACATGCAGGCATCATCCATAAACTTCACAACAGACACAAGTCTTCTTAAAACTTCAGTCCAATATGCACTCTCAGATTCAAATTGTTTTTCCAGCTCTGTATCTATCCTTCCAGCAGCTGACCCATATGTTAGCATAGCTTTTCTGTGATGTTCACTGTTTTCATGCTCTTTCATCCGGTTTGTGGCATGTTTCCAGTCACTGAAACCAGTTTCAAAGCACGATTTGCTTTTAGCATCACTGAAAATGCAGCATGCAAAACAAAACAGCTCCGGTAGATGGAGAGTAAAGCAGCCACTGTCTTTGGACATACTCACCATTGGCATTTAAAGTGCAGTCTGGAGAAGAACTGCTTCTGCTGTTTGTACACACGTTCGGACGCTTTAAAATTTACATCCATGTGTTGGCAGCTCTGCGGTCCTCGCTCAGCCCAGTAGGCACGCACAGATGCATCACATTTTCCCCAGCAAGCTGGATCCGTACTGTAACAAGGTTCATCCAAAGTTTCAATCCGTGGCCCAGACGCACTTTCGGTCGCCAGTTTTCCACAATCACTCTCCGATGGGAAAAGATAATCCATGGAGGACGTGGTGGTCTCTGATGCCTCCAGGTCGAGCGTCTCTGCTGCCGGAACATCAGCCGCGGATTCAGCCGCCAATTTTCCACAATCACTCTCTGACAGGAAAAGATAATTCGTGTTGTTGGACGTGGTCTCAGCAGGTGCCGTCGGCGCCGCCGCATACTGGGGTGCATCAGGCTCAGTCAGGCTGCAAACGCCCGCCGTGATGTAAGAAGTGTGAGAAAACTTGGACGAATTATAAGCAGTCATGACAGATGTTTGCCAAAACAAATCCCAGTGCTTCTCAGCTAAATGGTAGCATCTTGTTAGAGAATTACATACAAAAATAAAAATGCTTTCTGGCCTGAGGGCGGGGCCTCCAGCACGCAGGGGCCCAGGGCTGTAGCCCAGGTAAGCCCATGCAAAAGTCCGGGGGTGGGAACTATGCTGTCCAAACAGCAGCTATAACACGAAACCGATGTTTTAACAGGCGAACAGGGAAAACCCCTTATCAAATGATGACAGACAAAAAGCCAGATGTATCAAAAATGCAAAAGTTTGGAACTGCATGTTTTGCATACAAACAGCACAGAGGTAAACTTGATCCAAAATGTAACCAGGGATTTTTTGTAGGCTATGATAAAAATAGTCCAGCCTATCTCGTTTATCACCCGGATACAGAAACTGTTCAAAAACACAGACTGGTTAAGTTTATGAGAAAAGAAAATGTGGGGAGAGAAACACACAGACAGATGAGACAGAAATGAATGAGGATTACACCAGTGTAGAACAACCTATGACAGACACAAACTCAGATGAAGATGAACAAAATGAGGGCGTTCATGAAACGACAAGTGATAAAAATGTTCAAAATGATATACAAGATGAGCATGAACCAAAAGTGTCAGATGCAGAAAAAGAAGTACCTGATTTTAGAAGGAATCCTACTAGGGAGAAAAGAAAACCCAGTCATCTGAAGGATTTTATAACTGATCATTGTGGTAGCGATGAGGTTTATACAACAATAGACTATTGTTACCGAGCAGTTTGTGGCATCCCAAACACATTTGAGGAAGCTATGGGATCAGTTAACTCCAAGAAATGGGTAAAAGCTATGGATGAAGAAGTAAAATCTTTAAAAGAAAACGACACTTTCACTCTTACCACTTTGCCAAAAGGAAAGAAAACTGTGGGAGGAAAGTGGGTTTATTCAGTCAAAAGTGACAGCGAAGGACAGGACAGATACAAAGCAAGTTCTCTTTCTTAACATTCGTTTCGATGTCTCACTATGGGATACGCCCCTCCGCGGATTCCTCAGAAGCACTTATCTCAATACGCCAATCCTGATTGGCCAGTGACCGTGACGTACGCGTCCCCCTGCTACTATAAGTAGCAAGCGTCCCAACGCACGCACTATTCAATCACCTCTTCTCGCTTCGGTGGTCGCTTATCTCTGAGGTAAGTTAGCTCAACTGTTCACAGACTGAGCCAGCTAATATTTTCTCCGTCGCCGAACGTTAACTTACCGTCCTTCTGTCCTGACCTTCACCATAGGTTCGGGGCATAACGAGCAGCTTCACACTCCAGTGCACCTGTTCGTTCTCTGCTAACACACCAGTTAGCCCACATGGAAGCCGCTCCTCCCACCAGAGGAGTCGATGGCGCAGGAGCTCGCCTCTGTACCTGTGGGAACAAAATCTCGAGCAAAGACCCGCACAAGGTCTGCTCGAGCTGCCTCGGGCTGGAACACGCCCAGCTGGCATTGGAAGTCCCCGGGTCATGTGAGAACTGTGCCTGCTTCACTCTGAAGAGCCTTCGCCGGCGGCTAGCGTGCCAAGCTAGCCTGTCGGGGAAGGACCCTTGCCGGCCGGCCCCTGGGCCACCGCCTGGGGACGCCAGCGAACATGCCCTCCCGGAGCCGGAACCGCGTGCTGGACTCAGCTGGGGCTCACAGCTCGAACTGGCCGGTCCGAGCCACCCCGTTGAGGACGTGTTGGAGTTGGACTACGGAGACGACGAAGACACCTCGGAACTCCTCATTTCAGAGGAGGACGAGGATGACGACGTTTTTCTCCCCATCACTCAGGCCTCCATGCCTAGCTTTCCGTCCTCTCCCAGGGAAGGAGCGGCTTCTCCGGCTGCCCACCTGGACATGCAGTCAGTCTGCCGACGCGCTGCGACCAGGCTCAACATCCCTTGGCCCACCGTGGTCACTGAGGCTGTCAGGTCCCGCTACGAGGGTAAGAAGCTGCCTCAGGCCACAAGGGCGGCAAAGCCCCTCCTTCCCGCCTTCCCGGAGCTTCTCCAAGAAGTGAGGTCCTCCTGGGACAAACACCCTTTCAGCTCAAGGTCTCCTGTCCAAGGAGCCTCCTCGCTGGACTTCGAGGGGATGGAGAGGGCTGGCATGCTTCGCATGCCGCCGATGAAACCGCTGGTTGCAGCCCACCTGCACCCACGACTCTCGGCAACTTCCTCCAGGCCTCCCGCTCTCCCTGCAAAGGCGGACGGCTTCCAGTCGGCGCTGAACGAGAGGGCGTACAAGGCTGCCGCCATCTCGGTCCGAGCTTTGAATGTCTCCTCCATGCTCTCAGCGTACCAAGCCGAGCTCTGTGAGGACATGAATACGAAGCCGGACCCGGAGATGTGGGAGGAAATCACCGTACTGACCGACATCTGCCTGCGGGTGCAGCGCTGCGCGGTCCAAGCTACGGCGAAAGCTATGGGCATGATGGTGCTTCAGGAACGTGCACGATGGCTGAACCTCACCAACCTCTCTGACAGAGAGAAGGAGGACATTTTGGACATGCCAATCGTGCCTGAAGGCATTTTCGGCTCTGCCCTGGCATCGATGCAGCAACAGTGTGAGGCCAAAAAGAAAGAGGATGAAGTCCTTCATCTCTGCCTTCCCCGTAAGCCTTCACCGGCACTGCCGGCTCGGCCGAACCTTCCTCAGGCAATACCCCGAGCCCAGCCTCAGTTCCGGATCCCAAAGCGCCCGAAGCTTCAAGCTGTCCAACCAGCTCCCTCGGGCTCAGCGCCTCGACCAGTGTGGCCTCAGCGATCCGGCAACCAAGCTGCTCCGCCGCCGGGACAACCCACCCGACCCGGCGGTCAGCAGGTGAGGAAGAAGAAGAGGGCAGCCTGACGGAGTTCTTTCCCTCCCGACGCTGCAGCTGGCAGTTCCCCGTTCGCCAGGTCCTCCTGTTCGACGTTGCCATGGTGCTTTCTCCCCCCCCCCCTCACGGAACTCCTCCGGCAGAGTCCCCGAGCGGTCCAGGGTGGGGCCAGGACGTGCAGCCGGCTGTGCCGGCTCAAAACACACGTCACAAGCACGCACATTGTTGTTTTTTACAAACATGTCACGCTCAATGAGCATTAAAACGTTCGCTGCCGCATCCAGACAAAATGTCAAGGGCGCAGCAAAAAAAAAAAAAAAAATCAATAAAAATGTTACCCATGAGCGGTCCCAGGCGGGGGCAGCCCCTGGCAGACTTTCCAGCCAGCCACGGGTCGTCCCCGTACGCCTGGGCCGTCAAAGCACAAAGCCCCCGCGCATGCGCAGTGGTTGCCACGAGCACTGCTGCCCCACAACCTCTGGAGGGAGCTGGTGCTCCATGTGTCACGGCTGTGTCACCGCTCTCCACTCACATGGAGGAATGGACAGCGGTTTCTGCATCACATTGGGTGATAAGAACTATTTCGAGGGGTTACAGGCTCCAATTTGCCTCAGTTCCTCCTCGATTCTCCGGCGTAGTGTTCTCCCACGCCCAGGGGTCGTCAGCTCACATCCTTCAGGGAGAAATCTCCTCCCTGCTGGAGAAGGGAGCGATATGCATTGTGCCTCCCGATCGGTCTCAGAGCTGTTTCTACTCCAGGTACTTCCTGGTCCCGAAACGGGGAGGGACCGGGATTCGCCCGATCCTGGATCTGAGGGCCCTGAACCGATGCCTCAGAAAGTACAGATTCAAAATGCTCACGCTCTCATCCCTTTTGCGTCTGATTCACCAGAACGACTGGTTCACCTCAATCGACCTGAGGGACGCATACTTTCATATTCCCGTGTACCCTCCACACAGGAAATTTCTGAGGTTTGCCTTTCAGGGAGTGTGTTACGAATACACCGTGCTCCCATTCGGCCTCTCGCTGAGCCCGAGGGTGTTTGTCAGGTGTACGGAGGCGGCAATCGCCCCTCTGAGAGGGAGGGGCATTCGGCTGGCCACGTATTTAGACGCCTGGCTCCTGCTGGCACGATCCAGAGAGGAGGCAGCGTCAAACACGCTGGTTGTGATCCCTCACTTGTGTGGTCTGGGTTTCAGAATAAACTGGCAGAAAAGCGCTTTACTCCCCTCCCAGAAAATAACCTATCTAGGTCTGAATCTGGACTCAGGGGCGTTCACGGCCCGTCTCTCGACACCGCGCGTGAACGCGCTCTCGCTCTGCCTGGCGCGCTTCCGCCTACACAGTTCGGTGCGGTTTGCGTTATGCCTCAGGCTTTTAGGTCTCATGGCGTCGGCTATTTCAGTGGTGCCACTCGGCCGTCTGCACATGAGAGATTTTCAACGCTGGGTGGCTTCTCTGGGTCTCTCTCCAGTGCGCCACAGAGCGCGCAAGGTGACGTCTCTGCAGCGTGCGTCGCAGCGCTCCGCTGTTGGCGTCACCCCTCCCTCTTGGCACAGGGGGTGCCTTTGGGGTTGGTTCTCGTGAGGAAAGTGGTCACGACAGATGCGAGCCTGTCAGGTTGGGGGGGGGGGGGGGGGGGGCTCCTGGAGGGTCGCTCTGTCAGGGGTGTGTGGAGCAGAGAGCTCTGGGGGACACACATAAATTATCTGGAACTCCTCGCGGTCTTTCTGGCCCTGAGGCGCTTCCTGCCTTTTCTCTCCGGCCATCATGTCCTAGTGAGAACAGACAACACCACGGCTGTGGCATATATAAACCGCCAGGGGGGGCTGCGCTCCATGCGGTTACACACGCTGGCACGCAGACTGATCCTATGGTGCAGCAGGCATCTCCTCTCAATCAGAGCCACCCACGTCCCGGGTGTTCTGAATCGGGGGGCGGATCTGTTGTCCAGAGGGACACCCCTGTACGGGGATTGGAGCGTGCATCCAGTAGTGTTGGAACAGATTTGGATCCGGTTCGGCACAGCAGTAGTGGATCTTTTTGCCTCCAAGGAGAATGCTCAGTGTCCTCTGTTCTTCTCCCTGCGCGACCGAGACGCTCCACTCGGCGTGGACGCGCTGGCGCACGACTGGCCACGGGGTCTGCTTTACGCTTTTCCCCCAGTGGCCCTGATACCATCCACCTTGCTGAGGGTACGAACCCAGCGCCACACTCTCATTCTGGTGGCCCCATACTGGCCAGCCATGCCTTGGGTGGCAGACATTTTCCAGCTCCTGGAGGGCCAACCTTGGAAATTGCCGCTTCGCAGGGACCTGGTGTCCCAAGCGGGAGGCTCGATCTTCCACCCTCATCCAGAACGGCTGGCCCTGTGGGCCTGGCCCCTGAGGGGTGCGGGCTAGTGTCAGCAGAGCTGCCCCAGGCAGTCATTCGAACCATTCAGAATGCTAGGGCCCCCTCCACTAGGTCCCTATATGACTGTAAATGGAGGGTGTTTGAAGCCTGGTGTCAGGGCAGGGAGGTCTCACCCCTCCAATGCCCGGTGAACGTCATTCTGTCTTTCCTGCAAGACTTGTTGGATGGGAAGAAGGCTTTCTCCACCATTAAAGTGTACCTAGCAGCCATTTCCGCCCGACACTTGGGTTTTGGGAAGAAATTGTGTAGCTTCATGAGGGGCGCGCGCAGGCTTCTCCCTGTGTCCCGACCCCTGGTGCCCTCATGGGATCTGTCCTTGGTGCTGTCAGCCCTCTCCGGGCCTCCATTTGAGCCTATGGACGGCCTGGACCTTAAGATCCTGTCTCTTAAGGTGGTGCTACTCCTGGCTTTGGTATCTGCAAAGCGAGTTAGTGACTTACAGGCTCTCTCTGTGCACCCATCCTGCACCCAGTTTGCACCGGGTGACATGAAGGTGTCCTTGAAGCCCAACCCTGCCTTTGTGCCTAAGGTGGTGGGCTCCTTTTCTCCTATTATCCTCACAGCTTTCTACCCACCACCCTTCTCCTCTCCTGAGGAGGAGCGGTGGCACAAGATGTGTCCGATTCGCGCGCTCAAGGAGTATGTGAATCGGACGAAGAACCTTTGCAGGGGGGACCAGCTTTTTGTGTCATGGGGTGGGCCTCGTAAGGGGAAACCCGTCACAAAGCAGCGGCTTTCCCACTGGATTGTGGAGGCTATTTCTATGGCTTACTCCTGTCAGGGCATTCAGGCACCTGTTGGGCTCAAGGCCCATTCTACTAGGGGCCTGTCTGCTTCTTGGGCCCTTTTTCGGGGGCTGTCAATCCAGGAGATTTGTGCTGCAGCAAGTTGGGCTTCTCCACTTGCATTTGCACGCTTCTATAAACTTGATGTTTCGGTCCCTGCAATGACTCACACGATTCTGAGTGTGGGGTCTTTGGCGGGCCAAGGCGTATCCCTGTAGGTTGGTGATCGCTGGATAAGCTGTCTGGCAATACGGGAGTCTCCATATCCCATAGTGAGACATTGAAACGAATGTTAAGAAAGAGAACTTTAGGTTACTGTCGTAACCCCGGTTCTCTGAGTAACATGAGTGAGATGTCTCACCAGACAACCCTTCTTGCTGGGCGAAGCGAGAAGAGGTGTTTATCTTGAATAGTGCGTGCGTTGGGACGCTTGCTACTTATAGTAGCAGGGGGACGCGTACGTCACGGTCACTGGCCAATCAGGATTGGCGTATTGCGATAAGTGCTTCTGAGGAATCCGCGGAGGGGCGTATCCCATAGTGAGACATCTCACTCATGTTACTCAGAGAACCGGGGTTACGACAGTAACCTAAAGGTTTGTAGCCCAAGGTTTCAGTCAGAGAATGGGAATAGATTATGGCGAGACATTCTCTCCAACCACTAATCTGACCAGCATAAGAGTTCTTCTGCAGAAAGCAGCACAGGAGAATCTGTTACTCAATCAAATGGATGTGAAAACAGCCTATTTACATGCTCCTATCGACTATGAAATATACGTTGATCAGCCAAAAGGTTATGAAGAAGGGAAAGGTTTGGTGTGTAAATTAAAGAAATCCTTGTATGGGTTAAAGCAATCTGGTCGAAACTGGAACAAGATCCTGCACGATAATTTGACTGTAAACAATTTTAATTAAAACCCCGCAGATCACTGTGTGTACACCAAGGAAACAGAACAAGGAAAAATAGTTCTGATTATTTGGGTTGATGACTTAATAATTGCGGCAAGCAATGAAAAAGAAATGGAAGGAGTGAAAAATATGCTCTCAACCAGATTTAAGATGAAGGATTTGGGCAGACTTTAGCATTATTTGGGTATTGATTTCACTCAGTCTGATGGATGTGTAACAATGTCACAAGAAACATATGTTGACAAAATACTGACAAGGTTTAACATGGAGAACTGTAAGCCCAGGGAAACTCCATGTGAACAAAAGTTGAGTTACACAGGAGATGCTATTAGGATGGAAGATGTGAAGATGTATAGGGAGGCTGTTGGAAGTCTTATATATCTTGTAACATGTACCCGTCCAGATTTGAGTTTTGTGGTCAGCAAATTGTCTCAACATCTCCAGGAACCAACGGAAGAACAGTGGATAACTGTAAAACATGTATTGAGACATCTAAAGGGAACAAAAGGCAAACAGTTGTGCTTCAGGAGAAACAGTGAAAACCTAGGTTTAATAGCCTACAGTGATGCTGATTGGGCAGGAGACAAAAATGATAGACGCAGTACTTCGGGTTATTGTGTCAGTTTATGCAACAACAGCTCGCAGATTTCATGGAAAACCAAGAAGCAACCTACTGTGGCGCTTTCTACCTGTGAAGCAGAATATATAGCTCTAGCTTCCACAATGCAAGAGTGTATATATTTAGAACAGCTTTTGAGAGGTATTGACAACTACAAATATACACAGACAGTGGTGTATGAGGACAACCAGGGGACGATCGCTTTGGCTAATAACCCTGTGAGTCGACAAAGGTGCAAACATGTGGACATTAAATATCATTTTGTAAAGTCCATTGTAAATGAGAGAAAGATGTCTCTTTTATATTGCACTACTGAAGAGATGGCAGCAGACATTATGACCAAGCCTGTTTCTAGGTTAAAACTTGGAAAGTTTCCAGGTATTATGTTTGGTGTTTAGAAGAAACAAAGAGGGGGAAAACAAGTTATTAAAACCAATAGGGTTGTTTGTTTATTATTTTTTTGAAGACTTGAGCAACATGAGTTCAAGAGGGGGTGTTGAGATGTTCAATATTGTGGACTCATGTGCTAAACTGTGTAATCTGGTGTTATTAAGCAGGTTGTGCTTTTAGTTGTTCACCACTAGGGGGCACGCACACTGCGTCATTACGTAACAGTTGCTTAAAGAGCGGGTCAATTGAGCCTCGGAGTCCTTCTCCACCCACGTATCAATTTTAAAAAATGCAACATTAGTAGGCGTTGCCTGGAGGACCGAGAGGGCGGAGCCGCGGCAGTGACGAAGACGATGGCTAACTAGACGAAGCTAGCTCCCTTCACTCTGAGCAGTTATTAGAAGTGGAGGACGTTTCTCCCCCTCCTTACCAAGACACTCGAGAAGAAAGGGACCAAGTCTATTTGGAGGAGACAAGCGGACCTGAGTCTTATTGTTTTGAGCTTGTGAGTTGCCTGAAACTCCCAGAACCGACCCAAAAGAACCACCTCTGAACGGTAAGTAGCCGTTAGCCATAGCATTGGATTAGCTGCAGTGTTTGGCTCCACGGCCCTAAAAAGCTAGTATTCAGCATGTTTTAGAGGTTTATCTGCTTCAGCACACCTGGTTTTAATCAGCAACAAATAGCTGAGCTGCTTAACAGCTAATCTAACCTGTTAAAGCAGGAAAATCCACTGAAACGTGCTGGATAGCAGCTCTCCGGTAGCCCTGGGCTCAAGTTACAGTCTGCTGCATATAAAGTTATGAAAATACCCCATGAGAAAATTATTCTGTAATGTGTTCAGCCCACTAAAACTGCCCTGATTTCTTTATTTATTTACTAATAACAGCTGCTCTCTCGGTTCTAGGTCCTCTGGTGTCTGCAGCTGGTCTGGTGTCGTCAGGATCAGGAGCTTCCAGAAGAATGTGCCTTTCAATGACTCTTTCCCCCTTATTTGTTATATTAATTAAATAAATCTCAATTTATATATTTCCTGTTTTTGTTCATGTCCATAAATACTTAAACATGCTTGAAATTAAAACGAGCTTTTAACAGTGAGGTGCTAGTTTAATTCATCACAATAGAGCTAGTTAAGCATGCAACAAAAATGTGATAATCAATGTAATTTATAAATATCCATTAAAATATCAAAACTGGAATCTAAATGAGATATTTGGCAGCACAAAAAACTTGTCAAACACAATATTTATTATAATAATTGTAGGCAGACAGGAGACAGAGCTGATGGAGGTTCTCAGTCATCGAAGGATGGCTGAAGGCTTTCCAGGAACAGGAGATGTGGTGTTGTCTCTTCTCTCTCTATTCTGCCAGATGAGCTGATAGGTTACAGGTGTGTGAGGACATCCTCATGCTGTCATAACCAGATGAGAGGAGTTATCAGGTGATCAGCCAGGCTAATGAGATGCAGAAAGAAAACAAATTCAGGACAGTGTACAATATGTGGTGTTGCTCACCTTATGTGCTCTTATAGAATATTAACGTGTGCCTGCCTCATGGTGTAGAGTCTATATTTTGCTGAGTGTCCTGCAATAATGCAGGTTATTAGTTAATTTACTTTTCATAGCAAAAACAAAATATTTAATGTAAAAGTTATTTTCCAGGTGAATCAGCTCACACGTCACCACCAAGTGTCACGGGGGCAGAATCAGTAGCCTCCATCATGATGTAATCACATACATATTTAATTGTTAATATCTTAAAAATTCTGAAATGTTTAAATATTTTTTTACCTTGAACAGTTCACTGAGCTTGCACTGTCACTGAGGTGGAAGCTGGAATCAACAGCAGACACCTTACATCTTGATCTTTTCAGGGGGTGTGGATGCTGCTCTGAGACTTTCTGGAAGATGAATTTTCATCATGGTCCCCGTGGGTCACCAGACACACTGCGGCTGTGAATTCCATTCTGGCTGGCTATGTAAAAACAAAGAAGCAGCACATTTATAAATGTTTAAAAGAGCATAAAATCACGTGTAACAATAATCTGTAAAACAAATTAAAACTAGAAGGTAATAATAAAATGTTTACATAGAAGATTATTAAAAATAATTCACCTTTGCTACAGGGAAGGTTTCACATCAGCCTGGACAAGTGCATTCTTGCAGCTAAATCAGTCTTACAGCCAGTGTCTTGGGTAGATTTAGCCTGAAAAAAAAAAATAGAAGCACATTGTTGTTGGGAGTTTATAAAGTCAGATAATATACAAAAGAATCTCATAGGCGCTTTATAACATTCCTAGTGTGTGATCGTTGTTATAACGTAAAAGTAAGTCACACATGATGTGGAGAGCCTGAAATGTGACCTCCTGAACAGAATTCCTTACAGAACCGGGTCACAAGCTGGATTTCACGCTGTAATGCTGTCTGTCAACTAGTGCTGCGTCAGTTAGAGACACTGTTGCAGAATTGCCGAATGACTAGCTAAAGGAAGTGAACCACGTCTCTCAGACTTTGCATTTAGGTAGGGAATTGTCTTTAGAAGATGTTAAAATCTAGCTTACTCACCTGAGACTGGAGCCCGCCGTGGTGGGGGAGCAGAGTCGGTGGGCTGCATCTAAATCGCGGAAGAGCCACGGTGGGCAGCCTCCCTCTTCAAACGGAGATGTGCAGAATCGCGGGTAAAATGCCCACAGAGTCACCTACTCACCAATATTAAGACGATATGGAACACTAAACCCGAAATACTTTCCCAATTACACTAACAGCCAAACACTAACTAAACTACAATATCCAACAGCCAAGCTAACACTAAATAAGTATTTATAACACTAAAAGATATGCTAAAGAAGACTAGGATATGCTAATGCTATATGCTAATGCTGAACTACCGCTGACGTCCTACGCTCGCTTGCAAATCCAACTCCCACTCGCCACAGGGCGTGGCCGAGACGTTCGTTGCTTTTATAACTTTGGCACGGAGCTGCTACGTAGTACTCTACTGGTTTATGTAGTACTTTACTCTTTAGCCATTGGCTAAAATTTATTCAAAATGACTCAAATTCTATGTTTTCAGCTGAAGGTGGCGCATTACTGTGGTTTTTAGACAGAATTTTTAATTTTTAAAGAAAATGCACCAAAATGCTAAAATAAAGAATGCACACATTTAAAACACTATTAGACACTCATTTATACAGTTCATCAGCAAAAAAAGTTAATTTAGACGTTACTTGCTCTTTAAGGAGAATGGAGTCTCCGGTGTGGATGTTAACGTGTGTGTCGCAGTTCTAATAAAAGACACAAGAAGAAAACACTTTTGATCCCATCTTTCTTTTCCTCGAGTTCATACGCGATTGATGCTGCAACACTCAACATTAAATACAGGGTTTTCTGTTCTCTGTTTAGAAAGAAAACACTCTAGATTTTCTAAATCTTGTTTAGAAGACCTAGTTTACACTTCTTACCAGCTGGTAGCGGTAACGCACCAAGTCAATGTTTACCAAGAAGAAGAAGCATGCAGCCAAGAAGTAAGTAAGTAAAAGTTTATTTATATAGCGCCTTTCACAGATATAAATCACAAAGTGCTGACACAAGCACAAAGTAGCATGCTAACCTGATGCTAACTAGTATTCGTGATGTCAACATTATGAGAAATACATGCAAAAAGAATAATTTACTAAGGTATCAAGCTGCAGGGCAGGATTTGGAAGAAGACTTGTGGACTAAGTACTTTATTGGAGACTGAGAACATTAAATGGACATGAGGATTGTTTTAAGATGGTGACTCTGTGGTGCGCAGGCGCAGCTAAGAACGGTGAGTTGCAAGTATTTTTCTAAGAGGTTCAGTAAAATTGGTTACTTTGTCTTAAGTTTTGATTGCATCTTTAATTGGCATACATAATCGGAATTAAACAATGAAGAATTTTAGCTTTTCAGTTATTTATGTAGAACAAGTTGGTGATGCAAATGGCCGATTTGACCCGGAAGTATATGTATGTAACGTCCACCAGACAGATTATAAACATGCAAAGGGGTTGATAAAAACACGGTTTACTGGGCCCCCCCAGAAAAACCCACTGCCCCTCCAGGTGAAGTCCTCTGGTGCCGGGTCTGCGCACCCTGAGAGTCGGCAATGCTAAGCTAGCGTGTTGCATGCTCAGGATCACGTGGAGTTCCAAAAAAAGTGATGGTTGTGAATATCTTTACAAGTGGAAGAAAAATCCCCACCATCTTGTTTATGTGTGGATGTGTGCAGCTGCATCGGTGTGGAGCCGAACCGCTGCAGCTGCTACCTGGTGTCAGGTTGTTGCTCCTGAGAGTCGGCAACTCGAGTCTGCTCCAGACACCACAGCAGGGCTGTAGCAAGCAGCTGTAGCATGTAATTCACAAATGCTTCTGTATTTCAATACAGCTTAGACTGGATTATGTTGCCAACCTGTACATAATACAATAGATAAGCCACCATTACATTGTTACTGGTAGTTATTAAATGTTATTATAATTTCCAGAAGCTTGCTGCTGAACACTTGACTGAAATACATAAATTGTACTGATTATATGTGACGTTAGATATGTTTAGACTAGGATGAGTGATGGTAAACCTTCACTAAACGTCATGAGTGATAAAGGAAGCCATAGAGATAAGGAGACGTGGATGCGGGACCATGAACAGAAACGATGGGGTCTACACATTGGATCGTGCATGGGACTGTGTCATCAGTGAGAGGAGAGCGGGCAGCAGAGGGCGACAACGCCCTCTGCTGCCCGCGGATAAACGGAGTAGGAAGTGACGCCACCATCAGAGTCAGCTCTGAGGAAGTTTACAGCCATGAAAGAAACTGTCAGCAAGGTTAAAAAACCCTTTTCTGTGTTTTAAAAAAGAACCAAAAATGCTACGTCATACTAAAACAAGTCACTTTAGTGTTAACCCTCTCAGGCTCAAAATAAGTTTTGATAAAAGGACGAACAACTAAGTCCTTCAGGGGAACTTTTGAGTTCAAAAATGCTCATGAAGTACGTATGTGGACTAACCAGGTAGGTAGGTTTTTACGTTGCTAATCTGCAACGCCTGCCTCCAAAGGGTTAAACAAATTATTAAATCTGAAATCAGCTTTAGTCTTCAGTTTGTTCTCAATGTGCATGGCATAACGGATGGTGGCCCTCGGTAGTTTAGAAACTCTGGATACGGCCCTGCTACTGTCTCTCGTCAGATGCGCACACGAAGCACCTCAGCTAGAGAGGAAGACGCCAGTGGCTTTTCAAAATAAGTTAAAAATTTAATGTTTCATGATATTTAAATTATTTCAAACTACGATTATGGTTAGCATAAGTGCGCAAATATAGGCTATATATGTTTCACACCTTACGTTGTTGTACAGTAGTGTAACGGGTTACGATTTGTTATGGTTGGACTTTTATGTTGAAGGGCTGTTCTTGGCCGGCTGTGTGCAGAGTTCCGGTGTTGTGCCCAAAAGTGATCGTCTGCCAGAAACTGATTGCCGTCCGCGGGAGCGCGCGCGGTAAAGGTAATTGCATTTCTAGACGAAATTCCCCAGGATTTCGCCCTAAAACTCAGCATATCTAGCAATATGGACATTCAGAAACAGATGTTTATTGCGGATATTAGTTTTTCCAGTTCGGAAGTTGTTTTAAGTGTTGCTATTTGTCTTAAACGTTCACAATGAGGATATATTAATCCTTTTTGCAATATTTGTGATTGAAAGATGGTTTGTGGTAAGAACTGGCTTTCTTTATGTTACAGCCTTGATACTAAAAAATAAATAAACAATGTAAAATGGCGCCCTGTATTGAATGTAAACGTTGTATAAATGTAAATAAACAATTCTCCAGCGATTTGATTTTTTCCCCTTCTTTTCTTTAGTCCACTTGCCATGGAGCCACGGTTAACTAATTTGGGGCACATTTTTACTTGAAAAATAGTATTTAAACTGATCAAGCTTTGGCTTTAATGACACTGTGTAGGTTACTATCTATACATTACATTGCTCTATTTAAAAGTAACAAGATAAAAGCACTTCAGCACATAAAATTAAGATTGTCACTTGCCAAATAGAGACTATACCCTCCTGTTTACCTATAAGAAACGCCTCAAAATATCTTTAAATTTTTTATTGATGATTTAATTGTTGACAACAAAAATGGCATTTTACTTGCCAAAAAGTGATAGAATCGCTCAGTTTTTCATGGAGGCTAAAATTGACCAAATAAGGGTTTTATGTATTATCTGTTGATGTTATTGTACTCATACTGTCTACTGTATCATCAAAAACACCCCAAAAATGGCAAAAAACAAACAAAAAAAAAGATTATTTCCCTTGCCAAAAATTGATCACAGAGTCCTGGTCACCTGTAAAGGGTTAAATTGACCTAAATATTACTTTATTTATTATCTCCTGATGTTATTAGTCCCATCAAAGGATGCTGGGTGCCTTCTGATAGGTATTTTCATTTGTTCATCTTTGTTGTGAAATCTTTTGTTAAATGTGTTGGGAAAAACCTGACATTACTTGTTTTCACGTTTGGGTGTTTTCAGAAACTCCTTTCTGCTTTAGGCATTTTGATCCATTATTTGAGGCCAAGCCAGGGGGTTTCTGCGAGACCAAGAGACTCGTTGATCCAGTATCTGAAGTTTTACTGTGCATTCTAAGACCAAGGTGTTATTCCATTAGTTAAAAGACTTGTGGACCAAGTACTTTATTGGAGATTGAGAACATTAACTTGACATGAGGATTGTTTTGAGATGGTGACTCTGTGGTGCGCAGGCGCAGCTAAGAACGGTGAGTTGCAAGTATTTTTCTAAGAGGTTCAGTAAAATTGGTTACTTTGTCCTAAGTTTTGATTGCATCTTTAATTGGCATACATAATCGGAATTAAACAATGAAGAATCTTAGCTTTTCAGTTATTTATGTAGAACAAGTTGGTGATGCAAATGGCCGATTTGACCTGGAAGTATACGTATGTAACGTCCACCAGACAGATTATAAACATGCAAAGGGGTTGATAAAAACACGGTTTACTGGGCCCCCCAGAAAAACCCACTGCCCCTCCAGGTGAAGTCCTCTGGCGCCGGGTCTGCGCACCCTGAGAGTCGGCAATGCTAAGCTAGCGTGTTGCATGCTCAGGATCAGGTGGAGTTCCAAAAAAAGTGATGGTTGTGAATATCTTTACAAGTGGAAGAAAAATCCCCACCATCTTGTTTATGTGTGGATGTGTGCAGCTGCATCGGTGTGGAGCCGAACCGCTGCAGCTACTACCTGGTGTCAGGTTGTTGCTCCTGAGAGTCGGCAACTCGAGTCTGCTCCAGACACCACAGCAGGGCTGTAGCAAGCAGCTGTAGCATGTAATTGTTTGAATGCTGGTAAGCATTCAAACTATTCTTTTCCTGTTTTTCTTTATTCTTCTGCTTCTTATTCTGCTTCCGTACACTTTTTGAACCTCTTCTCCTTCAAATTTTGAGCTATTTCAACTATTTTATAGCAAAACGTTCAGCTCGTTAAGCTCTTTCCGGCTATTACTTTTGGCATTGATATCTTTCAAATTCTTCGAGTTATTAAACTTTTTCTGCGAAAAATTTCCCATTGAAATGAATGGGATTGGTCAATTTTCAGCAAATTCCTATCACTTTTTTGACCTCGAACTCTCTAGGGTTCCTTTTAACTTAGAGACTTCATTCAAAGTTTAACAATCTCACAACACTTTCCTGTTT